CCTCTTCCTGTTCCTCTTCTTCCCCTTCCTGTTTCTCTTCCTCTTCCTCTTCCTGTTCTTGTTCCTCTTCTTCCTCTTCCTGTTCCTCTTCTTCCTGTTCCTCTTCTTCTTCATCTTCCTCTTCTTCATCTTTTTGAGACAGGGTTTCAGCATGTAGTGTAGGCTGCTCTTGAACTCACTTTGTAGCCCAGGTTGGCCTTGAACTCACAGTGATCCTCCTGCCTCAGCCTCCTGAGTGCTGGGATTACAGACGTGCTTCACTGAGCCCAGCTTGTTGTCTTTGGCATCTTCTGTAGGTGTCACTAGACATGCTTGTTTGTCTGGGTGCTTTAGGGGTTAGTCTGTGTTTTTGAGCAGTCACAGTTCTCCTTGGCATCTGAGGGTGCCTTGGAAGGGTCTGCACTGTGAAGTCCCTGGCCCACTGCCTCTACTCATTCTCTTTGCCTCTCTGACGCTTCTTGCTTGCATGTCATGTCACAACCCACTTCCTCCTCCTCCTGCAGCCCCACGCGCAAATACGCTGGCATCCCTGGTGTCGCTGACCCCAGATTCTTCTGCATGACCCGTGCAAGCACTTTAACATCTGCCCTGATCCCAGCCGGGTGCTGCCCTGCCGGCCTGTCTTTTACCCCATATTCTGATCACACTTTAGTGACCATGCGTTTACGACCCTGTTCCTCGTGGGAGGAGCCCCTCCTACTGCCTCATCTCGTTGGCCTCTGGTCTGTCCTCTGATAAGCCCCTCTTGATGCACGCCCCTCCGCTCAGGAGGGTGGTCATTCCTCAGTCTGCTAGCAGCATGTTGGCCTGTGGAGAGTCATTTTCAAGTCTCCTGCCTGTCCTCCTGTGGTCTGGCTTGTCTCCCTCATGTCCGTCTGCAGGGCTCTCTCTGCATTCTGCGCAAGAGGGCGAGTCTCATAGACGTGTTTGAGTGGCCGCACCCCTCCCTTCTGCGGGGTCCAGCTTACGGGCTCCTCCTTGCGCCTGGTGCTTGCACCACTGTCCACGATGCCTGGATGAAGGTATGCAGGCCTTTCGAACAGGAAACAATCTCTCCTGGGGCCAGCATGGCCAACAGGGCCATGGTCATCAGGCTAGAGGAGTCTGGTTTTTCCTCATCTACTATTTCCCCTTAAGTTTAAAACTACAGATTTATCATTTGAATGGTATAGAAATTCACTTCCTGTAGATGCACAATTCAGCGCATTGCAGTGACTTCACAGAGCGGCTCAGTCACCACCATGGCTGGCTTGGAACAGGGGCTCCCCATGACCCCAGGACATCTACTTCCCTTGTCTCTCATTCTTACTCAGCCTTGCCCAACACTGGTCTCTCTATCTCTGTAGCTTGCACTATTTTTTAAATCCAGAAATTTAAAAAAAAATATCT